TAGCGTTTTGAAACCGTGGCAGCTTCAGCCAAACGAGAGCAATTAAAATCATTTACGTGGGTTGACAATGTGGATCGTAAAGGGGAGAATACTCTACCTCTGAATGGCATTCCTCGCTTTTAATAGCATTTAATCTCACTTAAGTGTGCGCGTAGATAGTTCTTCGATAGCTCATTTGATACCGGAGTAGATATCTATGTACGTGTGTATATCCAGGCCAAGGACAAGCCCATCAAGAGCCTGCTTCTTTCATCTCTTATTCACCCTCTATTTTGTTAATCTCCGCTCGATTCATGCTGGAATAGTGGATGAAGAAATACTTCGCCGAGTCGCGAGATTGAAAGAAAAAGAAGGCAGCGAGATCGAGAATAGCGAGTCAGTTCATGGATTCGTTTATTAGTCCTCGCGAGACATGAATATCCTCGACTTGTATCTCTTTCGCCTATTGGCTAAAGACCGCGATGCGGAAATTGCACTTTTGTACAGTGATTGCTCATTCACAGTGAAGAATTTTCGAGACATAACAACGGTCTGTACGGCTCTTGTGTGACCCACTGAAACGTTCGCGTATTAAGCGATTAAATAAAAGATTGCGTAACACGGAAAAGTGGGCTTCGAGAGTCAAACGTGTGCGTAAGTGATCGCTCGATTTATAATCTGCATTAAATTGTCAATTAAACGTTACATAACGTCATTAACTTCAGCACCGAGTCTTCAGTTAATTAATCATTTATTGTAAAAATTCAGTTCCGGACGTGAAATTTAAATATACCGTAAAATAACATCTCTGTTGAAAACAATAAAACAATTTCGACGTAGACATAAAACAAAATTTGCTAAAAATACCACTTCGGATTTTATCGGCTGTGTTCTTTAAATGTAATAGCGGTTACGTATACAATTTGCACGTACGGGGAAATGTATAAATACTTCACAATCAATTACATCACGATTATTGTGTTAGCCAGAGCATTCGAATTCCGCACAGAAGTGCAGATTTCACGGGCCGATGCTTCGATTCGATCAATAGGAACCGCACGATGTGTCATGTGTCCCGTTTGCGCAAAACAACGCATCTCCAATTCCACAGGACGGCATCCGCTCGACGCCTCGATTAATAAAAGCAAAGACGTATGCTGTCTGATTAGACTTGCGTATTGTACATTTTTAAACGTACAATTCGTGGGCGTTGCAAATACCGTTTGCGCAATTTACGGAGAACGTATGTGCATATCTTCAAACGCGGGGGGGTATTCGTACAGAACCTCTCGTGGCTTCAAAGTTCATCAAATATTCGTCTCGGCCGACCTCCGCGCACATTTTCACGACGCTCAAATAAACTGGTCTATCCTACTACTCGTATAACGTGCGGCGGCTTCGATCCCCCGCGCGTTTTCGCCCGGCGAAAGAATAGAGAAGGCAAGGTATATTCGAGAGAAAATTTCTCCTGAACGATGGCACTTAACGATTCGCCTTTGCAACTTGCTCTTTGTTCGTAAGACTGGTCGGCAAAGCGCTGATGGAAGCGCGATTTCCGATAATACCATTGTAAACGCTTCACCGCGCTGTACGCAAAGCGACCGAGCCGAAGGAGCGACCTTCTCGCTGAGTTTCGCCCGCGGAAGGAAGACGCAGCGACGAAAAACCTTGTTATCACGGACAACGGATTAAAAGAGACGGCACGGAAAATATAAAAGTTACGTAACAACGAGTAGCCCACGAGAAAAGACCTCGCTACGGTCAATATTTGACAAGCGCAGAGATAACTCTAGTCGAAATAATGTCCCCTGCTACGTCTGCATCTGCGTCGTAGTTGAAACAAACAAAAAGAAAACCTGCGCGCAATTTATTCTAAAACGAGAATGGATATAATCTCTTTATACAGCGAAAAATTAGAATGAGAGAGAGAGAGGGGGGGGGGGATTATTTGAAGGAACTAGTTTGTCCTGCACAAGCGAGGCAAGATAATTTCGATAATTCTAAATTAAATCACAATTGAGTCTAAATTAATCACTGCAAAACAGAGCCGCGAAAGCTCTCCAAAGAAATTGCCCAACAAGAATTTGACGGTGTACCTATAATAAAAAGAGACGAAACTCTCTACGTTCCAGACATTTCTTACGCATTTAATGCAGCGCTTCAATTATTTGCAAGCAAGGGCTCGATATATATCGCTGCGGCAGTGGTCCCGTGCCAGAAGGCGAAAACACACTTTCCCCGAAGAGAAATCGTGCGATAGGTAGCTATAATTTCTAAGTAGTATCATATCTCTGCCAGGTCCAGGTACAAAAAGGTTCGCGAGATAAAGGGCGTATGAATAATACAAAGGCAATTTCCGGGAGAGGAGATACACCACGTGCGTGCAAGCGCAAATAGCCGCTCGGGGCAGAAATCGAATTTTCTGCGAGCACATAGGACGATTTAGCGTAATCAAAGGACTGACGACCGAGGCGAATTAACCAGCAATTGTGCAGCCCGGTGCAAACGTGAGCTAACGTAAAGAGTTTTTAATTTGCTAATTTGTTTTGCACGCGCGTAGATCGCGCGTCAAACGTGAATGGCGTAGAAATATTAATACGATAGGTATAATCCCTCGTAGATAATACTGGGAATCGTGTTATAATTATCGTATTATAATCTCGCGAAACACGTTTCGCCTTCCTAGATTAAAACAGTGAATGTTTCAGTAACGAAATTTCAGTACGCTTTGGACACGGGGATTAAAACTTGCGCTCACATCAGAGAAATTCAGAGAGCAAAGTAGTTAGATAAATGTAAATACAGCAAAATAAATCTGTCGTCTGAATAATCGTTTCCCCGATACGGACCGACGCAAGTGCGCGAAAAATTTTCTCCAAGAGTCACCGCCTCCGCATTTTTACTTTCGCTCTGAGAATCTCCCAGAAATGCATCGTGTCGAAAAGTCTGCTTTCGTAAGGGCACTTCTCTGATTCGGACAAATAGGAGTACATCTCACGGGGTAAAGAGCTGCTGCCACTTGCGTCGCGGCGACGTGTTCAAAATATTCTGCTCGTTTTCGCGAACTTATCGCGCGGTGTTTTTTTTTCTTTCTTTCGCCAACGTAACGCACGTTAGTTCATTTTCCCTCACACATACACACACACACACAAACACACGCGCCGCTGAGCTCCGTTACAAGCATCGTACGAAAAGTTCCGCTCTTAGAAAACGAAATACGATCGTTACGCGAAGTGTCTCAACTCGTCGCGTGAGAGGGAAGCGGCGAAAAAGCACTAAGATGCGTAAGTACAAGTAAACTAACGAGAAGATCCGCAGAACCCGGGCGTAATTATTTGTTTTCATTGAAGAAAGAGATAATTTGTATTATACGCGCGGAGCGAGGAAGCGAATTTTCGAGGTGCAACGCGCCATGAATTCTCTTTGTGCGAGCCATGAAGCATAACAAAGCACGACCTACTTCAAAAGAAATCATTATTTGTCGACTCGCATACTCGGGGGACTGTTTCGAGTAACAATAAAATTTTCAAACCATGCTGGGACGTTAAAGGAACATTGCTCCCACATTAATCTGAGTGTTTCAATGAATTCATATGAAATGCATAAAAATTCCAACGATCTCAGTTAGAGACGAACACAGAACGCGATTTTCGCGCGTTAAAAATTCTATTCGCGCCAGACTTAAGATAACAATTTTTAGGAATCGTCAAGAGGGAAACAAAATTACAGATAGTGCACAGTCCTCTATTATGAGATAGCAGGTTTTCAACACCCAAATTCAATCACAAAATTTTTTCCGCAACGATTACACAATCTAACAATGAATTTTCCATTAAAACAGATTTCGCTCCAAGAGCAATAAATTCATGGCGGAATCAACAGATGATACCTGTTAATTTAACAGAAGCCCTCGTTATCTCATATTAAGAGTCAACTCATAATAGGGGACTTTCCTCTACTAACAACCTTCGGTTGGCAGCAGTAAAAAAAAATGATAAGAAAAATTAAATGGAAATTACAAATATTGACTGATAACATGCGCAATTATATATTCATCGGTAATATCCGGCCGTAATCGTATTAACCTCATGAATGCATTCCAAATCTCCTGCTGGCAAAGCGCGAGACGCCGCTAGCTATTTTACTAAAGACGCGTATGCCTCGCAGTTCTGGAAAATGAAGGCTCCGCTGCACGCAGTAGAAACGAACGATTGAATGTGAGTAGACACCGAAATGCACGAGGAGCATATCCTCTCTATGTCGCGATCAATATCGCGCGCTCTTTTAACAGTTTTTAATTGATTGTAACCAACGGCAAATATCAAGCTGCGCGTTTTATACGTGTACATCGTACACGTATTATATTACATTAATCTCTTCGCTTTGTACCGTAAGGCAACTAATCTACGTGATATCGGTGCTAATATGAGTCACTTCTGTATACCAAGCTTTTCAGTATCTCCCCCTTGTATATCTACGGACGAGGATTTAATTAAAACTTTCCACCGGAATTTCCGGAGCGAGCGTGGAGCTGAAGAACCGATTCATTTTTCTCCGACACAGCGTGTACGCATAAACGCCCGAAAATCGCGGCCGCAATTGCATATCTTGGCGGATATTTCCTTTACAAATATAAAGCACTTGTTCTGTGAAACGGCGTCCGCGAGAAAGCTCGACGAGTAAGCTCGACGCGTTCGAGATAGCGCGGGCAAAGTTATTCCGCCTCCAAAACCAGCGTGCTTTCAATTTTGCCTATCTGAAAACAATTTAAGCGGAACGGCGTTTTATGCGATGCTGTAGCGATATAACGTAAGCTGACGCCGCGAAGCACGTCGACAAGCGTTCAAAAGTGTGATATATATACCCGAGGGGGTAGTCTCGTGAAAAATACTACATAAGACGCTTTAATCCCGCAAACAACGATGTAAACGGCCCTCCAAGTGATTCCTCGACGGGAATACGGCGTCGGCCATCGATCTTCGCGTCGAACGGTATATTCACATTAACGTCGGGGAACTTACCGGCGCCGAAAGCCTGTTGTCCGTTCTTGTCGTCAGTCGGGGTGCCCTCTAAACTCGCGGGACCGCTGTCCGCCCCGCCGGTCGCACTGCAAACATGTCTTCCCCGTTTTTATCCGATAAGATCGAGCGGGACGCAATACTCGTGAATGGTAACGTCGTTGGGTCGTTGCGTGTGAAATAATTGCGTCTCCAAAGCTTCAGCTTATGGAGACGCTTTTAGAGGGCGAACGTGCCTCGAGATAATAAGTTGTAAATGCCGGTTTAAAGAGACATGACTCTCTTATAAAAGTTTGCTCTTTTTTTAGTTTATAATTTGTCAAGCTACAGCAAATTTGCGAACAAACGTAAGTAACGAAATATGTAAACGCAAAATTTAATACCAAGGGTTAAGAAGTTATTCAACGTAACTGAGAAAAAGGTTTCCCTTACTAAAAAAGAGATGTTACCAGCGCGAATGTCGTTAATATCGAACAATTAAGGCCCTTCTCCGCGATGCCGATTGATTTTCTCGAAGCGCGATGTGCTTCACTTCTCTTTTAGATTCAGAGTAAATGAAGGTTTACAATTTAGAAATACTAGACATAACAGAACGCGCGCTTCGCGCGCGCTGTTTGTGGTCAGGCATGGTGTATTTTTAAGAATTTGTACACACGCGAAGAGAGAAAGAGAGAGAGAGAGAGAGAGAGAGAGAGA